CCAACTGCTCCTTCTCTGAGTCTCGGAGTAAGGGTGGTGTCATTACTCTCGTTCCTCTTCTTCTCCCTCAGCATGGATTTGGTCATGCGTCGAGAATGTATGGCCGAGCGCTGGTGCCAGGCCGCGCACTGCATACTTGTGTGGAGTTTGGGAGATTATGAACCGCCGTCCTCTGTCCGCTTCACCATGCATCGTTACGACATGCACGATCACAAGTTGACGAACGAAGACAGATATCAGATCACCCCTCATATCAATACCTCCCTCAACGACGCTTTCACGCATCCCTCTTCGTACCTGGTTGTTGTGGCTGGCGATTTCAATGTGTATCCCCCCCCGCCGCGGCCGACGGTGCCACCTGCTGCCTTCGGGCCCACGGCCGCGGCGCTGGAATGGCATCGTTCCCGAGATGGGGGATGGAAGACGACTCCAGGACAGATGATACAAGTCGAGTTCCCAGACCCCGCGCATTATAATGGAGCGCGCAAACATGCATTTTTTATTGATCGTATTTCTGTATCTGGACCGAGTTGGCGTCTTACGATGATGTCTGTATCTGCCAAAGTCCTTGAGTCGCCCGAAGCCTTGGATATGCGTGGAGTATCGGACCACGCCGCTTCCCTGGCTGCTCTCCGCCATCGCCCCCCTCCTGATCCCAATTCACTACCTATCTCCAAACACCTCTTCCAGCACCAGAAATTCAACGAGTTCGTAAACGTGACGATGGAGCAGATCGACTCCGACTCCCTCTCGCCCCCTCTGATGCCGCCCAGCGCAGAGAAATTCTCAAGGAAGGCTCCAGAGTTGCCCGTGACAGCCTCTTCCAGGACAACCCGCATGACCCCAGAAGACAGCTGTTACTACTTAGCTTTATTATTTCCAGAACTATTTGGAGACAAGATGTTCGAGGCGCCGCCAGTCTTCTTCAGTGTGACCTAGGCCGTCAGTTCATGTCGCTCGACCTTTCCGTCCCATTGCTCTCCCTCTCCGACCCAGCGGGTTTCTCTGCGCGCGTTGGCGCTCTCCAGTGGGCTGGCGCTGAGAGCGAGCAACACCGGGCGCGCCAGAGATTGGCCCGGTCCGACAGCGCAAGCATGAGAGCGAAGATGAAGAAGCGCCTTCGCCACCTGGCTCGGAAGTCGCGCCTCTGGGCACCCTTTGACAAGAGGCTCTCGCTGGCGGGGACCAGAGCGAGCGAAAAACATGTCACAGATGAGTCTCATATCAGAACGGAGATAGTTTCGCATTGGGGTGAGGTCTTTGCCCGGAGATTATTGATGAATGCGCTGCTGACAGATATCTCGAGCGCTTCGCGCCGCATGTCGACCTCCCCGACCTGCCGCCCCCGACCCTTGCTGACTTCCAGCAGATCCCCCAGAGGCTCGCGGATGCGGCCCCAGGGCCCGACCTGCTCCCGCATTCTGCCTGGAGACATGCCCCTCGCGCCTGTCAAGTTTTGAATGGGACATGTTGGGGGTCACTTCGAGGTTGCAGCATGCCGCTCGGTTTCAACTCGCTGCTCGGCATTTTCGCTCCGAAACCCATCGAGGAGGAGGAGGCGCCCATCGGTTGTGTTCGACCCGCCTCAGGCCTGAGACCCTCAGGACTTCAGAACACGGGTGCGGGGATCCTAACAACTGGCACGTTCAAGAAATTATCCCGAGCCCTCCCTCACAATCGATGTCAGATACAACGTGGATTTGTCCAAGGCAGAAATTTCGGACTGAACTTGGTTGAACTCGACGGATATGCACGACTGTGCTCGGCGAGCCCGTTGGCCCTTTCTCTCAACCCCGTTCCATTGAGCTATGACTTTGGCGCGGCGCCCCCCAGCCTCGCCCGCCCTTGGCTGCAGAAGGTATTGAAATCATGCATGCTTTTTTTTCCGCCGCTGCTGGCGTTCATATCAGAGCTATAATCGGGCATCATCTGCTACGGGATCATCTCGCTGCAGACCACTTTCCTGTTCCTGGCTCTCAGCGGGATCGTGCCAGGGCGCCCGGCGTCAGGCACCCTGTTCGCCATCAGTGTTGACCCTCTTCTTCAGGACATGAAACGTTCGATTGACGATCGAGGAGCTGGCAATATCAGAGCGTGCACTGACCACGCCGGGGCAGCCCTGAAGCAGCTGAGCGCCATCGCCACCCCCCACCGCATCTTCGCTGCCGCAGCCAGAGTTGCGGCCCTCATCCTCAAGCGTTCCAAGTGCATAGTTAGTTGTTCCTGTCTACGCGCCGTTCGACGACCAGATCGCATCGGACACAAGCGAGTGGCCAACCGTCCATGCGCCTGACTGGGCCTGTTTTGCCTTCCGCCCTCAGCTTAAAGATTGATTTGGGTCTCTGGCTCGGACCTGCTGTCACCGATGAATATTGGAGAGAGCCTTTCGCTACGTGGATTTCCCCCGGCATTGCTCTCGCTCGAAAGGGTGATCCTGCGGTGGTGATGGGCCACATGTACGAATCGCGGGTCGCCAGTGTTTTAACTTATGTTGCTCAATTTGCGCCACCGCCATCGGCCCCCCCGCATCCGGAGAGCATAGCCGCTGCCCGTCTTCTCAAGGTCCCCCCATGGTGCTTCGCCGAGGTCAGGCCATTTATGCCTGCAGAATTGGGTTTGCCCGAAGTTCCAATGTCTGACGTCTTTGTGTTGCAGTGCTTTCATGAGAGCCAGCATAACTTCTTTATCGGTTTGGCGCGAAGTCCTGACCTCCCCCCAGGGCGCCACTGAAGCTCGCATTGACGACGCTGTGCTAGATGATCTCCCGCGCCCACCTCGGCATCGTAAAGTTTGGAAGCGAAGCGCACTCGCCGAAATTCCTGCGAATGCCCGCGCAGGTTTCCCGAAGGAAACGGGCAGCACTGTCCTCACCTCTTCCCGTTCCGCTCGCTTGAGAGTTGCTGCTGCTGCCTCTGCTGCTCTCGATTCTCTCCCCCTTCCAGATGAGCGTCGCGCGCGCCTCGAAATTCAAATAATGATTAATAGGGACATGCGTAGTTTCGCTAGAAGACTCTCCAGTTGGCTCCGTGGTCTCTTAGAGAAGCCCGCGCCCTCCCATGGCCCGAAATCAAGTCGACGATGAACACATCACCTACCCCCAAAGCGGTGGCGATGGTTAAAATTTTACGGAATGCCTGGCCCACAGCAGCCAGATATCAACATAATGAGCCCTGTTGTTTTGAGTGAATGCCCAGTTTCTCGTTCACTGAGTGCCGAGTCGCTCCCACACTATTGGTCATGTCCCATTGTCTGCTCAATCCTCGCCCGTGTTCTGCAGATCTCCCACCTCCCGTCTGACCCGTGCGACAGGTTCGGTCTCAGGCACCCGTCTCCCGATTCTCTCCGCTTGCCCATTGCATCCACATTCCTCCATCATGCTCTGCGTGCAAGCGGCTTCCCATCAGTTCCCGACACATTGTCCAAATGGACAGTCGACCAAAGTACGGCGGACCCAGAGTCAGGGTGGGGTCGGATGTTGAATCTGACGGGGCTAGGACGAGGATAACTCCGCTCACGGCGTTCAGGAACGCTCTCGGAACGTTCCAGAACGCTCTGAGAAGTCCGCGGCGCCCGAGACATCATCCAGAGCCTTCGGATCTCAGAGATTCTCGATTCATCCCCACCCGAATTCATCCTCGTCCTCACCCGATGTTCCCTCACTCGAGCTTATCCTCGTCCTGGCCTCGTCTTTCAAGCCGATCAGCGAATTGTCTCCTCTTTCGGTTCTCGGGACGGTGCGGCGGCCGCATCTTGTTCCGGGCATGCCCCCTCGCCAGGTCTGGCCCCGGGCCGTTTCAAAGTTTCCACGAGGGGGTGTTTTGCCTTATGGTGCTCCAACCTACTTTAGCCTTGAGCACCAGAGTTAAAGCGGGCACGTCCCTCTACAGGAGGAATGTTCAAAAATAGTAAAGAAAATAATATGGGGACGATTGTTCTAGTATTGTTGACTAATGTTTGAAGATTGTTGGACAATACTTCGTTTTTCTTCCCAAATCCGCCTGTAGCAGGACGTGCCCGACCTAACACCATAAACAATTTCGAGCGCCAGGAAAGTACCGAAACTTGAGGGGGTTCACGTGTTGGGCCCTGGGAGGCGATATTCTTTCGACACGTCGCTAGCGTGTCGGGTAGACACCGTCCGAGTGTTCGAAATTATTTCGGAGATGTGGTCCTTACGTGCGATTGGGGGCAACAGAAGTTTTGCTGGAGGCTCTTTCCACCCCCGATGGGGGGAAGCTTTCGGCCTTCGGCCAGCTCTGCTCTGAAGAAAGCTCGGTTATTTGTGGGGCAGCCGTGGCCGAGGCCGCAGACGACTCGATTCGCTCGCGCCTGAAAAACCCCCCTGGAGATCTCGACCCCCTCCCAGGGCTGTGCCTTTTTCCCCCGAGCTTTCCTCTTGAAGCCTCAGGGGCCCCGAAGCGGCCCCCCCGCGGGCAGCATCCGGCGCGCTCCCTCCGAGCCAGATGTCTGCGAATCTGGAGGTCTGCAGAGGTCCTTTTGGGCCGTCCTCGGGCCTCTCTTGGGAGCCTCCTCGGGCGCAGTGGGGGCGGTCCTGTGGAGGCTCTCCGCGCCGTCTCTGGCCGATCTGGGCCCGACCGGGCGAGAACCTCCAAATCGGGGAGAAGCTATGGAACATTCTGGTTCTGGGCCTCCTCAGGCCCTCCTCCTCCTCCTCCCCCTCCTCCTCCTCCTCCTCCTCCTCCTCCTCCTCCTCCTCCTCCTCCTCCTCCTCCTCCTCCTCCTCCTCCTTCCTCATCCTCCTCCCCCTCCTCCTCCTCCTCCTCCTCCTCCTCCTCCTCCTCCTCCTCCTCCTCCTTCTCCTCCGTAGCCATTTTGGCTCAAGTCCCATGCTGCTGCGGGCCGAGCCCGCATTGGCACCCACGGACACCGCTGGCCCGCGGCGAGCAAGGCCCTTGTGCCTGGCAGTCTTTCTCGTGTGCCTCTGCCGTGGGAGTTGGGCTCCCACACCGCAGTTTCCAGTCGCCTCTCGCATCCGCGGCATGGCCGATGATGCCCACGGTGACGAGGCCCCCGCGTCGCTGGTCGAGCAGTTCGATCTCGTGGCGACCTTCCCTTCGCAGGAGACGGGCGCTGGCCGTGGGAAGGGCGGCAAGGGCGCCCTGCCACCTCCTCGCAAACGCGCTGCTCATGATCACTCTGCTGCTGATGCAGCTGACGGTAACGACGCCTGGTCGTCCGACGACTACCTTCGCCAGCTGTGCCGCGATGAGTTCGACTCCATGCGGGCCGCTCTCACTTCATCCGTCTCCGAGTCCGTCAGGGCCACCGTTGCTGAGAACCACTCGGTGCTGCTGGGATCCATCGACAAACTTCGGGAGCAGGTCTCTGGTCAGTCCGCATCCATCGACCAGCAGGTTCAGAGTGTGGTTCGTCCTCAAGTTGACGCCCTGGCTCGCAGGCTCCAGTCGCAGATCGACGAGCACAAGAAGCAGATCGACGCATGTGAACGGCGACTGGGTGATCATGACGACCAGCTCTCTGCTTTTCGTGCTGAATTGGTTGAGCTACGCCGCCATCTTGCCGTCGCTGAACAACGCCCCCAGGCCCCGCCACAGATCCCCACTGGCTTCGACAGAGACGCCGACTCCACCCTCCTCATCGCAGTGGCCCAGCGTGCCACTTCGCTCGAGGCCATGTCCGCCTGCATTCAGAACTTCCTCTCGGGGACGGGCTTCGACTCCAGCGAGTACGAGATTGTCTCCAAGGGTACCCTCCCGTGCAAACGCTTCGCGGTTCACTTCAAAGGGATGGTGCAACCAGCATCAAGAAAAGTCCTACGCGCCCTCTCAGCCCTCAAAGATGAGAACGGGTGGAAGGCCTTCTTCGCCGATCTCCCCGGCCTGTCCGAGCGCACACGTGTCCACATGGGCCCCGACAAGTCCCCGAAGCAGGTCAAGATGGAGTACGTCTTCAGGAAGTGCCGCGCTGCCTTCGCCACCGCGTTCTCGTCCCTGCGCTTCTTCACAGATCGGGACCGCGGGTTCCTCTCCATCGGCTGGGACAAGATCCTCAAGGTTGAAGTGGAGGCTGGGGATGCTCCTCCTACTCTGCGCTGGGATGTCGCCAAGCTGGAGCGCCACGACATCACCAAGGCTCGCGCCATGCAGCTCACCTCTTTCCTCACGGCCTCGGCGGACGAGCCCGTGTGGTGTCTTTGACGCGCTGTCCCTCTTTTCATCTTCGCGGTCCTGTTCCTCGGGTTCGGCCACTGCCTTGCGAGTGGTTTCTTGGAACTGCAGGGCCCTCCTTCAGGCTGCTGGGGCCAAGGCAGCCATCAAGCTTAACTACCTCTCCAAGCTCGGCCTCGACAAGTCCATCGTCTCTCTGCAGGAGGTGCACCAAGACGCCCTCCAGCTGGAACACTTCGTGCATCGGGTGTGCCCGCGATCCACCGTCCTTTCGAGTTTCTGTGGGTCCGAACCTGCTGACCGTGCGCGTGGTGGCGTCGCAGTCCTGATCCCTCCTCTCGCGCATCTTCCTGAGGATCCTGTGCATGTGGAGTCCCATCCTCTGATACCTGGGCGTGTACTGATGGTTACCCTGCGCGCCGCTCGTGCCTGCGTCTACCTCTTCAATGTCCACAACCACGAGCTGGGGACCACTGCCATCACAAGAGTGCGTGATGCTATTCGTACTGCTCTCGCTGAGGCTCGTGCCGAACCACAGCGTGTCCTTGTGATTCTGAATGGGGACTTCAACATCTCGGAGGAGTCCGCCATGTCCCTGCTGGCACCGGTTGCGGCGTCTCGTCGTGGTGGCCGTCGACACCACGCTGCCGCACCTGCTTGGAGGCCCATCTTCGATGACATGCTGGAGATCCAGGGCAGCGAGCCGACCCACTACGAGCGGGCGGCGGGCAAGGCCAGCATCATAGACCGCGTCTTTCTCTCCTTGCAGGGCTGGCAGGTGTGCCAGATGAATCTCACTTCCGCCACGATGGGGTCGGCGGCGGCGCTCTCGGATGCGAAAATCTCGGATCACACTGCGGTCATCGTCTCTCTTGCGCCCCGCTCCGCTCGTCAGCCTGCTGCTCGCCCTATCCCACGCCGTCTCTGTCGCGACCCTCGCTTTGTCCGACGTCTACGTGGTTTGGTGGCCTCTTCCTCGTGGGATAGCATGTCGCCACCTTTCAAGCTAGAGCATTACAAACATCTCATGCGCCTTGCCGCGTCAGAGGTGCGCGACTCACTCTTTACTGACAATCCCGACAGTCTCGACACTTTGTTGCAGGTGGCACGAATGATTGCACGCGTGGTCTGGAGGCAAGACGTCAAGCTGGCCCTTCGGATGCTGGAATCTCATCCTCGCGTCCGTGATCACATCGCCGTCCGCTCCTCCGAGGTTGCACCCATCCACCCCTCGTCTTTCTCGGAGTGGGCATCGTCCATCCAACGGCAAGCTGCAGAGGTGCGTCGGCGTGCTCTTGAATCCCAACTTTCTCGCCAACCTTCTGTTCGGGCCACCCGTCTTCAGTTGCGTGCGTTGGAGAGGAAGGCGAGGCTCTGGTCACCATTCTCTCGCTCTTTGGCATTGTCGTCGATGCGAGTTTCGGATGACTGTCTGGTTTCTGACCCCGTCGAGCGCGCGGAGGCCCTGGCGTCCTACTGGAAACCTGTCTTTTCGCGGCAGTCTTGGGATATCGATGCGGCTCGGGCTTATATCCCCTCCTGGCTCGACCCCGTGAACACCATCGATCTCCCGCCCCCGAACTTGGCGCAGCTTCGGCGGGCCCTCCGTGCGGCCCAGGACTCCGCCCCTGGCATAGATGGTCTACCCTACGCCTCATGGGAAGCATTACCTTTTGGTCTTCATGTGTTGATGGATGCCCTCGATTGGATTGGCGATGGTCAAGCTCTCCTCGATTGCTCCTCCATCACTATCCAGGCTTTTCTCCCGAAGCTCGTCACAGACGTTGAGTTGCGTGATGGGGAGTGCACTCGTTCGCCCGACAAGGTTCGCGTCCTTGGCTTGCGGAACACAGACGTCAAGTTGCTGTCATCCGTCATGAATCGTGCTCTCCAACCCCTCATCCATCATATCGTTCCGCCTTGCCAACGAGGGTTCGTCGGTGGTCGCAATTTCGGAGTCAACATTCTGGAGCTGGATGCGCGCGCTCGCGAGCTTTCAGTGGGCCCCCCTGGATCGTTCGACATCCCGCTTCTCTTCTCGCTCGATTTCGGCCAGGCGTTCCCCTCACTCAACCAAGAGTTTATGGCGTTTGTTCTTCAGGTACTGGGGCTCCCTGAATCCTTCTTGGCTTTCGTTTCTTTTCTCTACGCGGCCATTCAGGGCGTGGCCCCGGTGAATGGGGAATTTGTGCCGATATTCTGGATTCGCAGTGGGATTATTCAGGGCTGTGCGCTCTCGGGCTCTCTCTTCGCCCTCGCTACCACTGCCTTCCTCAAGGACCTTGTGCTCTCCCTGGAGCCCTCTGGTCGTGGGATAGTTCGGGCCTGCGCTGACGATATTGGTGGTGCGACTCGGTCTGTGGCGGACCTCGTCCCCGTACATCGGGTGATGGTCTTGGCTGAATCGTTTGCTAACCTCTCCCTGAAGCTCTCCAAGTGCCTCCTGGTCCCCCTCTCGGGCGTCTTCTCTGAGGAGCTGGCTGCTGCTGTGGCCGAACAACTTCGTGTATGGGTCCCCGAGTGGGCCTCCTTTGGCGTTGTGGAGGAGCTGCAATATCCTGGGGCTCTGGCTTGGTCCCTCTGTGACCGTTGAACGACAATGGCGTGCTCCTTTGGCCAAGATACAGCATCGGGCTCAAGCTATTGGCCGTGGGACAACCCCGCCCAGTCTATCGGCCATACTCTATTGCACACGTGCGGTTCCGACATTATCATATGTCGCCCAGTTCTGCCACATGCCGCTGGTTGTTCTTCGCCTGGAGCTCATGATCTTGGCGCAGGTATTCCGGGTAGCCTTGGGCACGTTCCCGCTTTCATGCTGGCCCCTACTTCACGCCTGGGGAGGTCCTCGCATCACGCGCTGGGCCTTCATGGGATGTGCGGCGCTTGCCCGTGCAGCCCTTCATGCGTTCCCGCAGTTCTACGACATCCACAATCGGCTCCGACATCATGTGGCTACTCATCCTGATTGGTGCACCCTGGAGATGGTTGGTTCTGGCAGATGCTACCCGCACTTCTGGCGCTCGGAGGCGTTCGTGGAGATCCTCCAGCGGGCTGCTGCTGGTACCCGCACTGGCACACCGTCACCGTGCTGGTCTCCTGACTGGCCATCTGTGGCTGCGGTCGCGGCGCGTGCCGCGCTGGCCGAGGATGCAGCCCATCGTCCTCGCCCTCAGCGTGCTGCTCATGCTGCGCTACGTGATCTTGGCCCTGCCATCTCGCCGCTGGTGTCCCTGCTCCAGACGCGCCTTGCCAAGCTGCTCCCACGGCACGCCTCTCTGGTCACCTCCCTCCCGTGGGACTCAATCGCGAGCACGTTGGCATCCTGCCCCTGTTCCTGGGCCTGGGCTGCGCTTCGTACCTGGGCTGACGGTTGGATGACGTCGTACCGCATCCTGCACCCCCTTGGCAAGCGTCGCTGCGCCTTCGGGTGCCCTGGCTGCCCCGACGCTCTTCGTCACTACGCCCGTTGCCGCCCCTTTCACCACGCTCTTCGTCGTGCCCTGGCGCGCCCTCTACCTCTGCCTGTGCTTCATCGATGGGGGCTGCTGGAGCCGAATCTGCCCGCCTTTCACTTCCTCGCAGTCGCGTACGCCGCCTACAACGCAGCCAAGCGTGTGGAGGGATGGCCGCTTTCGGCTGAGTCCGCCTTCTCCTGTGCTCTGGCTGGGGTGCGCTCGGCGGCGTTGGCTCGCCCAGTTGGGATCTCGGCCCGTGATCGATTGCGGCTTCGCCCGCGCCGTACGTGTCCCTCGCCTTCGTCCTCCTCGGCTTCCTCTACGAGTTCATCTTCGTGTCGCTCGCCGAGGCTGACCCCGCCTGTCTCTGTCTCGTCAAGCCGATCTGCGTCG